TCTTTTTCTAGAGAAGATCAAAGGAGCCAATCTTCTCCTCAGCTCCTTTCTTGGCTACAACCATCAGCTCTACTTTTGTAGAGTCACCTTCATTCCACCATGTTCCTGAACAAGTCCATTTGTTTTTTATTTTTCTCCATATACATCCTCCATCCTCAATCCAAATAAATAAATAAATCCACAGTTTAGTGCATCATGATAATTGAATTCAAAAATGACAGTAGCATTTTTTTAACCAATTGAGACTTTCATTTATCTTGCCTATTGTCTTCTCTTTCTCTCTGAATTAAGATCAATTCCTAGATATTTTGTCTGTCTTGATCCACATACATTTTTAAGAGGGCAGTACAATTCCTAGCTTTCCCATTTGCTTTGTTTTGACAAGGTCTGTGACATTCAGCAAAGCAAAATTTATGTGCTGTTTACCTGATAAACTGCTACAGAAGCTGGCCAACCTGGCAATAGCTAACTAAACTGTGGGGTAGAAGATTTAGTAGCAGAGTCATTGAACAGACATTAGATTTATGCATTTTTATTCAGATCTTTCAAAGTTTAAGAAGTATCCTTCTGACTTTGTTAAAATGTATTATGTGGGCAGGAAAATAACACACAAATATGCATCTGGAATATATTTGGGACAGGCTTTTATATACACTGTAATTTAATTTAAAAAGTAAGAATAAAAACCATTAAATTTAGGTTGATGTCAGCTTCCTATTAACTTTTTTTAAGGTTTCAAGTTTTAAGATTCTGATAATAGACTATCAACTTTCCAATAGTTAGTAAAAGTTTGGGTTAGTAAAAGTTCGTATTTCAGTACCTGAAAACGACCTCGTCATTTTCTATGATTTACAAGCTTAGATAAAACTGCTCAGTTTATATCATTTGTATCAACCTCAGACACCAGTTTTCTTGAAGCAGAATTTGGATTACTTTAATACTACTCTCATTGAGGCATGTTGAAAATTAAAATGAGAGAAAATATTACTATAAATAAAAAGTAAAATTAGTAAAAATAATTTATGGTCATAATAACTAACAACTGTAATCTATAGTTTAAGTGAGTGGGGACTGTCTAATGGCAATTCCTTCTTGGAATTTAGTGAATATTAAGAACTCTTACAATTTAGGCCAGAAATTATCTATATTGATCAGCTTGTAAAATTTTGACTTTAGATATTAGAATATTGCAGATGATTAATCTAATTTGTAGTATGAATTCAGAAAATGTCAAACAAATACTTTCCATACAGTATTTTTTTTAAGTTGCTATTTGTCAAAATGTTAGTGTTGTGAAAAAATTAATTTTTATCTGAGGAGTTTGGAAATCTGTGGATATGTAATGTAATTTGAAACTTATTCTTCTGGGTATAAGTCCCTTGAAAACAACTTTAATATAGAGATCGTTCTTTGTAATTACGAAGGTTAATATTTGAAATATTTCTTCAGTGAAATGACTCTGGGCTATACTATCTGCCAACTTGTTAAAACTTTTTTTTGTCTTAAATGCAAATGTATATAGACATTCAGGAAGAATGTGTTTTGTTGACGTTTCTATACGTTTGCAAGATCAAAAAACAAAACTTAACATGCCAAATGTTTTTTTATGACAGATTGCACCAAAAAAAGACAGAGGGCCAGAGCTAGGGATAAAAAAGTGAATTACAATTTACCTGTGTTGGCTGTAAACAATACATTGTAGTGTACGTGTGAATTATGTTTCACAATCTGTCTCCTTGATTTTTACCCAAGATCATTAGTGAGCAATTTTAGTAATGACATTAGAAGGATTGTATATGAATCTTCAATCTTGGTACTTGAGTTAAAAATACATTCTTAAGTTTTTATGAAGAAAGATAGCTTACAGAAAATAAATCCTCACATAAAATGCCCAATGTTTTTAGTTATTAAAATATTGGGAAGTTATACAGGAATGGAAGGCCAAAAAGGGGAAAAAAAGAAAAGCGGGAAGACTAGGGATTGGGGAAACTGCTATATGGAAGTACATCCATACAGTATCATTATCAAGGTGGTTTTATACGCAAAAACTCAAGCCAGACCTTTAATTACTTGTACTTAATCATTAAATATACTATTTAATAGAATCAGTATCCAGATTGAACTATAAATGTCTCTGAAAGTAAAAGTCTGAATTATTCATTGATTAAAATAAGTATTCATTCACTGGATGAAATGTAAATATGTTAGAGTCCTGACAAAAATGTAGAACTCTGGAATGTTCCAACTGAGTTTCTACATAAGCACATAAACCATGTATGTACTTTCACAGATGATCATTTGAAGAACCACAGATACTGTTAAATTTGTTTGTGTATGTTAAATGTGATATTGACACAGATTATATCATGGTGAATGAGGCTGGAGATAGTAGCCAAAGCAGTGGTGAAATGTAAAAATTTGTTACTACTGGTTCTGTGGGGGTGCTTGGGGGGAATGTGACTGGGTGGGCATGTTTTTTTTTTTTTTTTACTTTTAAAACCATTTTTTCTACAACCTCTTCGGCTGAAGAGGTTGTAAAAAAATGCTTTCAAAAGCCTCTGACGATCACAGCTGAGTTGCCTGATCGGGAGAGGCTTTTTTTCTTTTAAAAACATTTTTTCTACAACCTCTTCGGCCGAAGGGTTATTTAAAAAATGCTTTTAAAAGCCTCTGACAATCCCAGCTGAGCCGCGCGATCATCAGAGGCTTTTTTTTTTTTTTTTACTTTTAAAAGCATTTTTTCGGCCGAAGAGGTTGTAGAAAAAATGGTTTTAAATTTTTTTTAAAAGCCTCTGATGATTGCGCGGGTCAACTGGGCATGGGGGAGGGGGCGGGCAGGGATTTTTGCTACCGGTTATCTCAACCACCCACCTCTCTCGCTACCGGATTGGGCGATCCGGTCCGAACCGGGAGCATTTCACCCCTGAGCCAAAGCCCCTTGTATCCTTGTATCTGTCCCCCCTCCTCACACAGGCAAACGTAATACCAAGCACGCCTGCCAATATTTTATTAGGTAAACAGATTAGAATTCTTGGCAGACCAGGGTTTTGGCAGCAGACTGCCGAATGCCTGCCAAGACAGGTTTCACTCCCATAAAGCAGAAGAGGACTTATCTTTAGTCTGTTCCAGGAGCAACAAATTATCTACGAGACAAGAGTTTAGTCAATGTTCAGTCCAAAATATATCCAAGCCGAATTTCAGAGATCACGATGTGATTTGCAGGGTTTAACTTTGTCCATCACAAAGCCTGAAGAGCAATCTCACCCACTTTTATTCCTGGTGGGGCGTGGCTCCGTGACTCAGCTCAATCTCTGGCCCTCCCACGCCTCTTCCGTTGCTGCGCACGCTTCTCCCTCCAATGCTGCCTGGGATCAAGCCAGGATTCATCCTCCTCGCTCCCTATCAATTGGTGCTCTGATATGCCTTCCTCCTGGCACATCCCAGGCTGTTCCTCCTGGCCTTCGGATGGAACCTGAGGCATTGCCAGAAAGGAGGGTCCTGGAGAGGGAGGCCTTGTCATCCCCATCACCTTCTGAATCCTCTTTCTCTTTTAGAACAGGCTTGGGAGTCGGGGTCACAACATTGTGTTTGGGAGTTATTTTACAGTGATAAGTTAATAAATATCACAAGGAAAGTTTTCAAAAGGATTTCATAGTCCCCTGATTCTTGAGGATTATTTGTTTTCCAGCATCTAGCTGAATTGCACAGTGAGATCATAGAGAGGGAAGATATTTTAGTCCATCCTCCTTGAGCGATGTAATATAACAGGTTTGTCAAGAAGGAATCTGGCAGTAGCTGATGAATAAAATGAAGCATCATGGGTAGTGTAGAGTACTTCTCTTTTCTTCTATATAGAATAGGATTAGTAAATGTCACTCTAGGTGTCCTTATATATTTCAGGTTTGGCTTTTTTCATCATAGTTTGGAAGAAAGGAATCAAAAGTGAAATAATCAAAATTGCTAATAAATATATCAGCTACTCGTATGATATAACATTCTTCTTCAAATTTGCTAATTTTCAGTATATTGTGGGCCCTCTATTAATTCATTTTACTGAATAGAATAAATGTGATGGCCATTGCTTAAGTTGCGAACCAGCCAAAAAATAAACTCAGGAGGAAGTGGAGGAGACAATACTGGAGAATAGTTAAGCCAAACGGTGAACCAGTTAAATAAATAGAGATAGAAATGTTGGGAAATAGCTATTTAAATTATGAATCAGTTAAATATTAGACTTTAAAATAAAGTATTTTGAGAGTGACAAATTTTAGATGGAAATGTTGATTGATTTAGAAACAATTAAGAGAGGAGGAAAATATTCTTTGTCAAGATTATGGATACCAGTTGCCATTTAAAAGAGGTACAATATAGACTCGATGTAATAGGTCTTAGAAATGAGGAATATATATGAAATATTGATTGTTAAAATGACAAAGATTTGGAATGATGTTTATTTGGAAATAATTGTTTAGAATTTAGGGTGACATAGTAGAATGTTCAAAATCTAAATGTTTAGAATAAGATTTCTTTTTCTTTTTTTTTTCTTTTTTTTTTTAAGAGGGAAATGGATAAAATTTGGAACAAAATTGGTTGAGGGAATGTGAGTAATTGTATTTACTTTACACCGGATCAAATCCTTGCTCTAAAAAGATGTATTTTATGTTTTAAAAAATAAAAAAAACTTTTCAAAAAAAATTGCAAATAAATATATCAGCTACTGGTATGATATAACATTTTTCTTCAAATTTGCCAATTTTCAGTATATTGTGGGCCCTCTACTAATTCATTTTGCTGAATAGAATAAATGTGATGGCCATTGCTTTTTGGTTCTGCTTGTAACTTTCAAGGACTCATTTCAGGCTGATGCTGGTAATACATTTCTGATTTATATAGACATTTCAGTAAAAAAAAAGTTGTGCTATTAGCATGAATGTATAATGTTGATACATGATCTATTACCAAATTTTAACTAACTTTTTCTCCTTTGCTTGATATTTTAGGGTAGAGCTTTGCTGCATTGGGCATGTGATAGAGGACATAAAGAACTTGCTACAGTACTTCTCCAACACACTGCTGATATCAATAGCCAGGTATGAGCTGAACCTATAATGAATGTGTTCACCTTCTATATTTTGGAGTAAAGAAATTACAGTAGATCATTTTCAGTAGCACTATTAGAGTTCATACAGAACATTTTTTAAGTGACATGGTTTGAAAACAGTAGTGACAAGAAAAGGATTATTTAACTCTTTTCTTCTCACACTTCTGGAATAGGAATTCTGCTTTCCTATTGGTGTATTAATGTGGGGAGACATGGACAGTGACTGCTTCTTTATTTTGGTGGTGAAAAAAGCAGGTTGAAAAATGTACTCTTATGTGAGCAGGCAGAAAACAGTAAACAGCACCTTTCCCGGAATGAGTTGAAATAATAGTGAATTGGAATTGAAGAATTTTTGAGAAACAAGTCAGAAGGTTTGATTGGTGAAAGCACTGGCTGTTATGAAATGGCACAGCAGATGTGGGAGAAGGGGTGGCAGAGCCTGGGGTGGAGTCAAAAGAGGAATCAGCCCTACAAGTGGTCTAAGTCCAACCCTCTTGAATTCCATTATCTTGTGGCCAAAATAGTGCTGAACTTTCATTGACTAGATTCCTGCACATAAGCATGAGCAATAAATTAATTTAATTGGAACTTAACATTTGGCCCTGATATTTTGTGCCTGACAGCATATCACTAGGTAGATTGAAAACCGAAGAACAAAGCTATGATGAAAAATGAGTGAATAAATGAATGAAAACAATAAATAGAAAACAAAAGGGAAAGTTTGTTTAAAATATTCTTTCTCCACCTATGAGGAGTAGAGGCCTAAAGCTGCTGCAGAAGGAGAACTATTCCATAATTACAGGCAACATGTTTATGCTAATATGGAAAAGGAGGAAGATTTCTAGTAGAGGTATATCTGACATTCATCAGGAGCTCTTGTTAGGAACCGTACTCCTGAACATATACAGAATGCTGAAAGAATACTGAATACGTAAGACACAACATGGCTCATTCAAAAAGAAAAATGTTTGAAATATAATTTTTTTATATTCCAGAGTCTGGGCTTAGCCCAACAATCAATCAGTGACTATACCGTGTTTCCCCATAAATAAGATCCTGTCTTATATCTTTTTGAACCCCGAAATAAGCGCTTGGCCTTATTTTTGGGGAGGTCTTATTATTTTGGGGCGCATGGAGCAAGATGGGGATCTCTTGCCATCTTACCTGATTTCCAGCTCTGTGTTTAAATATTTTCAGGGAGGGCTTCTTTTCGGGGGGAGGCTTATTTTAGCACATGCGCTCAAAAGCCTGATTGGGCTTATTATCAGGGGATGTCTTATTTTTGGGGAAACAGGGTACATTATATTAAATATAATTTTAAAGAGAGAGAAGTATAAGAGAAAAAAAGATGGGAAGTTCCCTTTTGTCTCTTAAACAGAGAAACTCAATAATAATCGGCCAGATGAAACAGACAAGTCCCTTACCTTATTATTTGCCCTAGTGGTCAATACAGCTCATAAATGCAAATAAATTATGTAGTCTTCAATAAATATTCTATTTAGGTTTATTAATATGGTTTAGTTATCATCAACAGATTGGGAAACATTTAAGTGACTGCTGAAAAACCCAAAGAAGTATTTTTAGTTATATGCCTAGGAAAAAGATAAAAAATAAAATTTCAAGTGCTCTGATTTATTGGGCAGACAATGTAAATTGCATCTATTTCCATGTAATGTTGCATAAGTAAAATTTAAGTTTCAATAGTTATTAAATATGTGAAATATGTGGTAATAGGAAATTGCATCTATTGATATCACAAAAATATAAAATACAGTTAAATCTTTATCTATTGATAAATTAGATGCCATCAACTGCTGTCAACTTTTAGTGACCATATTGATTGATTTTCTTCAGGAAGGTGTGTCCTCATCTTGGTTCTTCAGGTCTTCCAATGGCATACCTATTGTTATCGTAATTAAGTCCATTCACCCACTTGCTGCTGAACATACTCTTCTTTCCTTCCACCTGTCACAGCATTTAGAGCTCTCCTGAGAGCTAAGTCTTTGCATAATGTGTCTGAAATATGATAATTTGATCTTGGTTATTTGTACCTTGAGCAAGAGTTCTGGGATAATTTATTCAATGATACATTTGTTTGTTTGTTTTTGTTCATTATCAGTGGTATTCTCAGGAGTCTTCTCTTACACTAAAATTCAAAAACTTCAATATTCTATTCTGTTTCTCCAAAGTTCAACTTTCACTTGTATAGAGTGTTACAGAGAAAATCATTACTGCAAGATTCTGATTTTGTCAGGTATAAATGCAAACCAGGCATCTGAATATTTTTTTCAAAGTCTTCATTGACTTTAGAGATCTTTTGGAAGACTTTACTTGGCTTTTTTGGTGTCTGTTTCCATCTTTAATATCTTTACAGATATTGGTGTAATAGTTGTTATCTTTTTAAACAGCTCTTTGTAATTGTTTGCTAATTTTTTTCTTGAAATTTTGATCTTTCTTGTCTTTGACTTCTTTTCTCTTCTTAGCAAATTAATCGGTTTATTCTGACATCCAGTTTGCGTTCTTGTGCTTCTTGATCTGTGGCAGTTGGTTTTCACTTTCATTATTAACAACTTTTTGCCATTCCTCAGTTCCCAATCAATTTAATGATTGGAACATAAACCTGGATAACTGTCATATTAAACATAGTCCATTGTCCACATAGTCTAATTGATACTGTTTGATCACCGATTACATTGTAACCAAATAATTTTTGTTATTTTCTTCCTAGCTGTAACTATGTCCTATGTAATAAAAGGTGTGATCTTTCTACAGGAAATAACTTTATTCCAGTCCATCTCAATTCCCTGATTGACAATGTAGTCCATTCATTTCATCATTCACTGTGTTAAGCTTACTGACTTCTGTGTTTTTACATTCCATGTTCCCACTGTAATTCTCTCTGCAGCTTTGGATTTTATTTAAATCCAAAGAATAATCCCAAAGTAAACGGGGACATCAGCAACAGTCCCAAAAGCTTTAATCTAGCTATAACAGAAATACCATTACTATTTCCATTTAATACTGATCCTACACCTACTGCCTTTTAACTTCTGCATTATTTAGATGAAGCTAATACAAATAAGGCTATACTTTGTGATCCACTTTCATTAAAATTAAATAAAAGAATATTCATTTGAGAAATAGCTCACTTACTATGTTCCTCACAAACTCTTTTCTGTTATATTTATTTTCATATAATGGGCAACATAAAAGATAATAGGGTTAATCCACAATCTGAGAATGACGAGCAGTCTTTTTTAAAAAAAAATTAGAGAAATTTGTAGTATCATCTATCAATTGCTGCTGAAGGCACAGTGTGCATTCTTAAAGCTGCAAATATTTTCCAGATTCTGGTTTGGAATGCTTACCTCATTTGTGATCCAGTTTTAACCTATTGTGCCAAGCTGAGAAACTAGTTGTAACCTTAAGATTCTTTTCCCTCTTAGTCAGAAGCTTTTGAAATTGCCACATAGTATTGAATCACAGTGACAGTATGACCAGTCTTCCTTACCTCAAATAATAGGAAAAAGTCCCATCTCTTTGAGTGTTAATTATTACCTTTGACAGTACATTTTAAAAGAGGTGGTGATTGCTTAGAAAATGGAGGATGCACAAAGGGTTGTTTTGGGGAGGGAAGCCTTGCTTTGTGTTGAAAAAGATAATTTGTCTAATCTAATTACCTAAATCCTTAGCCATAGGCCATTTCCTGATGGGTGGTTGTGTGCAAGAATTATGCTGGGAACTAAACGATTTAAACTTCTTTAAAATGAATGACTGTCCCAAATTAAAAAAAAAATATTTGCAATAACACTTTGAAAACAATGTAGATACAAATGTACAGTCTCAATTTCTCACAAATATCCTATGGGATATAAGAGTTTAGATTCTTTTATAAATTATTACCAATAGAAAGGTAAACGGGGGAGAAAAAGTGAAGCCTGAAGAGAACATTATGTTCAGCAGTCATTCAGCATCCCGTTCAAAGCTCTGGATTACTGTTTCTTTTGGGTTCCAAATTCAGTGGCAAAATAAGTTCACTGGATGGGAAATAAGGCTCCACAAGATTGGTGTCTGAAATCATTACTGTAACCCTAGAAATGAATTGATAAACTAGAATGAAAACCAATACTCTCTGGATCTTCAACTGCTATTCCTTAAATTATAGCAGCACAACTCATCATAAAGCAAGATAAAGAATTCAAGACCTTGTTGACTGCATCAATGCAGTTATTTTTCAAGAACTACAGAAGTGGTTTTCATTCATTTCTTTATGGATTTTACTTCCCAAGCTTGTCAATAATAATTCTTGAATTCTTAGGTGGTCTCCGATCCAAATACAAATCAAAATTGACTCTCCTTAGTTTTCCAGATCAACCAAAGTTGACTAGGTGTTGCCACTTAGTGAAACTCTGAATAATCAGACAGTATATGTCTGAATATATGTGGAGGGAAGATGGATTAGAAGAAGGTCATGTTTAAATATTGAACTAAGATATATCAGTAACCTATGCTATGTAGCTGCCACTAGTCTGATACCTGAAAATGCAAATGATCTCCAAGTTCTAGTAATGAAAGTAAAGGGACTTTAAAACTTTACAGTTTTAAAAAATGGGGCTCTCATTTATCCAACTCCAGTATAAAAAAGACCAAATTAATGACAAGAGGGACCCTTTTAGAACTGACACTGAAGATACAGAAATGGTAGCTAACTTTCACTTTTGAGAACTGATTTATCAGTTAAAGGAACCTGTAATCAAGAAATACATCATAGGCTAATGTTTGCTAAAATAATAATGAAAGCCTTGGATGAGATACTCAGTTATCATGGTGTGTCTATGCCTAAAGGTAAAGGTTTCCCTGCCAGTTGTGTCTTGACTGTAGGGGGCAGTTTCTCATGTCCATTTCTTAGCCAGAGTGGTCTGAAGACATTTCCGTGTTCATGTAGCCAGCATGACTAGTAACGACATGCACTCTGAGTAATGGGAACTC